ACATGTCTGGTGATCTGCTTCCCAAGCCTGGGCCATTGCAATAGACCTGGAGCCCAGGTCTGTTCTGACACTCCTGAATTAGGGTCCACTGGTGTCCGTTTCCTAGAGCTCCTGTCTCCTCTCTTGAGGATTGACAAGCAAAAGAGGGCAAGATGTACTACCTCTTCTCTCACATGCTGCAGTTCACCCACACTGACGTCGTCCACATCCGCGGTGCAAATGGAACCGGAATGTGAAGTGGCGACTTTGAGGTCCCTCCACCACCACTCGCAATGGGGTGCACCCTGATGCACCTGTTTTTGTTCTCTTAGGTAATCCTTTCCTAATCCTTTTTCAAATTTCACCTGCCAAGGAGAGTCCACTGCTGTTGTCAGTTTTGAAGGACAAACCTGTTTTGCAAGTGATTATTGTATTGGCCGTCTGTTTTCATTAGCTGTTTCCCCCCATCTTTCTCCCAACCCCCAAGTGACTGACCTAGGATGGACATCAAAGAATCTGGTTGCAATCGGCTGCATTCTGTCCACGTTTGTTCAATGTCAGGATGGACCTACGGTTAAATAAGGTGTCAACAGACACGTCCTCTTTGGACTTCCAGAAGTTTTCCGATCCTGGGGCTCAGCGCTATAAAGAAAGTCATTTTATTAGGGCAGATCTCAGGGAGGGATTGAGTTGCTTTAAAAAATAATAATTAGCTTATTTACTTTTAACAAGTTCGCCAACATACAATTCACACATCATACATGTCACGAGTTCAATCACATTTCGAAGTGCAGCCATCAACACTACAGATTCCAGGACAGTTCTCCTTCCTTGTATCCATTGTTATTAGCGCTCGATTTCCCGCCAACCTCCCCTGCCAGGTCCCTTGGAAACTATTCATCTAGTTGTTGTCTGCAAGGTTTTACCTGTCCTGGGTTTCATATACGGAAAAACATACAAAATCAAAGCAAAACTCACACAAACAGCCAAACAACAATGACAGACTGAAACAGAGGAAAAACCTCAATCAAAAACAAAGCTGGAAAATATTTGAAACTGGAACAAATATGTTCTGCATCAAGAGAGATCAAATGACAAAGTGCCATATTTTAACCTAACTACAACTATAGTAATCCATCCCACAATGTCCTCTGTCTGATAACAAGGCCTTCCCCATCTCTGGTCTATAATCAAAGAAATTCACTAGAGGCTTAGTCTGAGTGGGGAACCTTGTGAATGGGTTTTGGGCTTTCACCGTCATGCATTGCTTTCTGCAAACTGAGTGTTCAGACTTTAAGCTTGATCACTTTAAAAAAAAATTATTTACACTTATTGGATCACTTAGTCGGGTGTGCTTCTTACATGTGGACTTAGCTGTCGCCTAGCTTAGATGACTGCTTGTTTTAAGACAAGCTTTTCCCCCAGAAGAAGTTACTTGAGAGGATGGCAATGGAGCTGCAGTTAGGGGAGAGGGGCATGTCTGATCAGAGCAAATGGGAGCATTTGGGGAGGAAGAGAGAGCGGAGCACATCCTGACCCACCAGGCCTGGAGGACGACATCCCCGCTCTGAACAGCCTGTGGACAGAATGGACAATATGGCTGATCCCACCACGAGACACACCGTCCCTTGATGGCCCCGGGCTCTAGGGGGGCCAACGCTGGAGACTCAGTGTTGGGACTGGCCCAGACTGACCCTGAGACACCGAGGCAAACCACAAAAAGCGTGTGGCAGTACAAAGGACAGACTTGGGGGCCAGAGCATGGTACCCCATCGGACTTGACTGAAGGACACGCCTAGAGATCAAAAATCAGACCTTGACCGATTTACAGGTTTTTCTTTCTGCTTAAATTTTTGTTTTGTTTTGTTTGTTTGTTTAATTAACTTATTCTTCTAGGGGTTAAAAAAAAAAAGACAAGCTTTTAAGGCCCCAGATGCTATTCTTTCTGGTTGATGGGCACCATCTGCTTTCCTCGCCACACTTTTCTGCGTGGTCAGTCATCACTTCATGGGGGCAGGGATTGAGGAGGGCCATAGCATAGGAACTAATTGTTCTCAGATTGGGGTTATAATTAAGTGTGAGCTCAAAATTCATTCATATATCTATGGTTTAGATATCCTACTGGTTCCTTTAAAGACATCGTTATTATTTTGTTGAATGACATTATAAATGATCCCCATGGGACATATGGTAGCTGTATTGGTATTACCATTAATTTATCCACTGGTATAGAACTTAAAACACTGTCAAGAAACAGGAAGTATACCTATGTGTAGAGGACAGTGTTTTAGACCAAGCTACGTGGGTTGTTGATCTGTACAGATTAACAACTTGGGTGACTGGACACTTCACAAACAATGAGGGTTGGAGAAAAGGGAAAATGCTCAACAATAATCATTCACAAAGGCAGAACTAGACTAAACATGTCATAAACAGACAAAGAGAGCATGGAAACAGCACCTGGACGGTCGTCTTGAGGTGCCATGTGTTGATTTTTTGTAGAGGACATGTCTGGGTAACCTTCACGCTGGGGCTACTTGAGAAAATGTCTGTCTCCTTTAGGGCTTGAGATAAAGTCCTAATCAGAGCGGTCATGAACTCCTTTTGAAGCTGCGCAGGAAATCTCCAGGAAACAGTTGAAAATATTCCCGTTTAAAGGAAACCCCTCCTTCTTAATAATATTCAATGATTTGTTCCCTATTTGGCTTTTGTATCTTGCTTTGCAGTACGTTCAAGACATCCCACCTGGAGGGTGGGTGATTGTTGTAGATAATTACCCAGAGGAGTCTCTTCAGTCACCAAGAGGAGCCCTGGTGGGCTAGTGCTTATAGTTGGCAGTAGTTTGAAACCACCACCTGCTGTATGGGGGTGTGGTAGTTACATAATCTGGTGTCAGTTTGGGACTTGAGAGGCTTAAGAGTGAAGGGGTGGAGTCTAGTCTGTAATCGGGTCATAGCCAATGAAGCCTCTGTGTGGGCGTGGCCTTCTCCTGAGGATTCTGGGAACTCTGTTATTCCTCTTTGGAGGTGGGAAACACACTCTCTCTGCTCACACCCTGGGAGACACAGCAGCTGACAAGACATCTGGAACTATGCTAGTGTCCTGAGCTGGAGAAGCCATGTGGAGACCTCTGCCCACACTGAGATACTTCTACCGCCTCTGGATCCACAAGACTTCCCACCCACTGACCTGTGATCTTCCTGGATTTGGCATCATTGTATGTATTTTGTGAGTCTGAAGAGGACTTTATAGATTGGCATCAGACATATGGGCCAATATCCAACTTATCGACTTGATCTGGGCTGGGTTGGGATGTTTTCTCAATATTCCATTGCTCTTGTATATAAAGCCCTTTCTTATACACATGTGAGTGTCGATAAATGTGTTTCTCTAGTCTACCAGGACTAACGCAGGGGATAAGATGAGACTTTCTACTCCCGTAAAGAGTTAGTCTCAGAAACTCACAGAGGCAGTTCTACCCTTCCCTGTAGGGTTGCTATGAGTCACTATCAACTTGAGGGCAGTGAGTTTGGTTTTAGGTTATCAGTCACCAAGAAGTCTAGGTGGCACAGTCGTTAAGCTCAACTGCTAACCAATAGGTCAGCAGTTCGAACCCACCATCTGCTCCAGGGGAGAAAGATATGATAGTCTGTTTCTGTAAAGATTACAAAGCTGGAAACCCTAAGGAGCAGTTCAACTCTGCCCGACAGGGCCACTGTGAGTCAGAACAGACTTCATAGCAATGAATTTGGTTTGTTTTTATGTCAGCCACCAATTGGAGTTTTGATATAGTGAAGCAAGGCCTACGAACTGGTAGACTGGTCAGTCCCTTGCTTTTTAGCTGATCATATTTGTATTTTTTGGTCAGCCAAACTGGGTGTAAAAGCAGTTCCGAAATACACCACACACTATGGAGATTAGATTAATACTCTTTGATGGAGTTCACTTTACACGGATAGCTTATTTATCCAAAGAAGATCCTTGCATAATTCAGGCCTGATTGTCTCTCTGGAAAAATAGGCCCAGATTTTTTGAATGGAGACATTCTCTTAGCAAAGGACTTTGATCTTTCAAAAAAGTTGGTGACTGATGCTAAAAGCCAGAATGATCCTAAAATCCTGGCATGCTTTTCTTTGGTTAAAATGTGAAGGAAAAGCAGGAAGAAAAGAACTTTCAGTGCAAGGAAGGTGCTCTATACTTATTTTTCTCCATTCTTCCTGTTAAGTACACCTAAAAACTATGAACATTAGGTGTACAAGAAATAAATTTGGGATTCTGAAAAGTGGAGAGGAGAAGGCAGATCATATAGGGGCCTTGGGACGCAAGGCACAACAGAGGGACGAGTTCTTTGACTTTTCTTTTGCCTCACAGTCCAGCTGAACTGAAGAAGCCAGCAACCCAGAAACGCCAAGTGCAGACAAAAGAAAGCTTAACAAAAGCCTGTTCTCTCTAGCCAAAGGACCAGGAAAAGGGCAGCCTCGCAAGACAAAAACTTTTGGACAACAATTGATCTACTCCAGACAAACATCTCACCCACAATCACACCAGCAAAGGCTGAATGACAAGTCTAGACTTGTGGTCTTGTCAGCCTATAAGAAGGCACTCTGGTTTCTTTGGCAGAGTATCGTCAGAGGAGGCAGAATAGGCCTTTACAGATGACAGAGCCAGTCAGAGTACGGAGCTGGGCCTTTATCCCCCATGCCATGAACAGGGTCATATAGTGTCAGTGGAGACCACACAGAAAATTCACATGCCTGCACAGCCTACCAAGGTGCCCCCTTCCTCAGGTGGTAATGGAGGCCAAGAGGGGAACCTGGACTTTAGGCTCCACTTGACAGTAATGAGGTGACACATCCTTCCCTGGCCAGAGTGGCATCAGAGAAGGTCAGGTGACCCAAAAATATAAATGAAATCCAATGTCCCACAGCCTAACTTGGAAATGCCTAGATTTTAATTAAAAATTAGTCATAGTCAAAGAATAAGGACAATCCCAAACTGAATGGAAAAAAAGATAATCAGGTACTTGCTTCAGCAGCACATATATTTTTAAAAAGTGGAACCATACAGAGAAGATTAGCATGATCCTTGCACCAGAATGACACAGATTTATGAAGCATCCCATTAAAAAAAAAGCATAAGAGATGCACATAACAAGATGCTAGAGATGCTAGAATGATCTGACAAAGACTTTAACATAACCGTGATAAAATGCTCCAATGGGCAGTTGTGAACGTGTTTGAAATAAACAAACAACACATGGAGAAACCCAGCAAGAAGTAGAAGATATGAAGGACAAAATGCAAATTTTAGAAGTGAAAAATACATTTGCCTGAAATAAAGAGCTCGATGAATGGATTCGACCGCAGAATGGAAGGGTGAGAGGAAAGAAGCCGCAAACTAGAACACAACAAAAAGCACCCAATCTAAATTGGACATCCCCTTGCAGAAGGGCTGCGGGGGGTGCTGAGCCAGTCAGGGTGCAGTGTAGCAAAGACGAAATATATAATTTTCCTCTAGTTCCTGAATGCTTCCTCTCCCCCCCACTATCATGATCCCAATTCTACCTCACATATCCGGCTGGACCGGAGGATGTACACTGGCACAGATAGGAGCTGGAAATACAGGGAATCCAGGACAGATGAACCCCTCAGGACCAGTGGTGAGAGTGGCAATATCAGGAGGGTGGAGGGAAGGTGAGGGAGAAAGGGGGAACAGATGACAAGGTCTACATATAACCTCCTCCCTGGGGGATGG